CTTGCACTCGTCTTGAATAGTTGCAGTTGATCTCGTTGGGTGGTAGCTACCTCTACAAGATCCCTCTATTCAAGTAGTATTTCCTCACGTTAGCAGAAGCGGATAGGTTAGTGTCTTTAGAAAGGCCTCGTTGGATTTCAACATTTCGGGTGCCTTTCTTCGCTTTCCTGTTACGGTTGCTCTGCCACCGGTGTACATGTCATGCTGTGATCCACGAACAAGAGCGTTCGCGACCAGACCCCGTGAGTTACACTTAAGCTTTCGTTTATTCTCCAAAGACTGATCCAGCATGTTGAGGGAGCTTCTCAAATAAGCAGCCCCATGACATCCATACCCACAATGCTTCCAGCAGTCACTGCAATCGCCGACGATTGTTCCGTTCTTGTGTTGCAATCGACAAATATTCTTGGTTGCATCAATCATTTTCTTCCCAATTCTGGAATAGTAGGAAGGTTCTTTATCTGCCTTGTTGTGTTCTGTCGCGAAGTGCGCGATGCATCCGTCAAGTGCCATTTCTCTATCCAACCTCCTAGATCGCGAAAAAGGAACTCCAATCAGGGAACCGCAGTTTGCCAACCAATATGTTTCTTCATCATTGCTTCAGCATTCGAAAAGATCTACTGCTGAATCAAAGAAAGCTGTCACACACACCATCAATCGTGAGGCATCCTTGGGGTATTCAAGTGTACACGGGTCTCTTCCTGACATCTCATGATTTGAGAACAGTTTGGGAAGAGTTTCGATTATGTATCCTTCTGTTGACACATTGGCTCGGATGGCATGGCGTGCTCCTTTCTTGATTCGATGATGCATGTTGCTTTCCATGGCACAGTTGCTTGGGCAGTTGTTGCATAATTCCAACAGTTGTAGGGAGAACTACAGTAGGAGCGATAGAATAAATCGGCAGCAGATGACTCGCCACATACAATCCAATTCAGCAATATCAAGTAAGAAATCGCAGTCTTCTGCTGTTCTGTTCGACAGCGATGGATCCACTGAACCATGTGATATGCCCTTGGGAACATGGATGTCGAGGCCTGTTCCTTGACTTCCTTGTTGTTGCTCTTCAGTTTCTTTCTCGTGGCTTCTTTTGTAGAGAACGGGTCATCTTTTGCAGCGAACATCCTATCTTTGAATGCTCTTACAAAACTGCTGTTCTGTCGGAAATGCTGAACCACGTGAAAGTAGCAGAGAGTCACTCCTTCCACCGGTTGATACAACAAAGAAGGATGACGGAGCACATCGGACAAACTCGTTTGCTTTCGCCGATTTGGCTCAACGAAAGAAGGAAAGTGGTTGGTGATAAGTGGCAGCAGTTTCACAGCAGCCTTGGACGATTTCGATGTTGTCTTGAAGTTAGCATTCTCTTGGTCATTCGACACGGATATCACAGTTTCCGGAAGGATCGACTGAGACAAATCATTCTGCGTTCCTTGAGAACACTTTCCAAAAAGGGTATCGTTCTGGGTAGAGGATAGGTTTCCGGTGCATCCCCTGTTGTTAGATTGTGCCAACGTCAAAGACGATGATATGGTCTGTGACTGGTGTTGCGAAATCGGAACTTTCAATGACCTCCAGGTCAGATCACAGACTTCGGGCCAATGATGAAAGTGCCGATGGGCTGTAACGAAAGCAGCAGAGTGATCTGAGGTGCCACATTCAATTGTAAAGCTTGTACCAAATAGCTGAAAACATAATTCGCGCAAGCAATACAAGTGCAAAAGATATGGAGGGATGGCTTCGGATCCTTTCATGAAAGAGAACGGTCTCAATGAGAATGTCACCTTGGACTGATCATCTCTGTACTTCTGTGAGAGCCCACCGGTGATAATGGTTGGAGCCAAGTCTTGACTTATGCCACCGGTACCATCATGCTTCGGTCCACTTGGCCGTTTGGTGAAATGCATTAACTGCCAGAGAGACGTGATGGAGACTGCAAAGAAACATTGTTCTGTTCTCTTTTCGAACAGCTCAAGTGACCGTTCACTGTACCCCACAATACGGCGCTTGTAGCGGTCATGGACCACTCCCTCTGAAAGACTGAAGAGATACATGTGACCGGATTCTGGTCCAGGGGCACGCAAAGCTTCGCAGAGTTGTTCTACGGTAGCATAGTCCGATCTTGGGGTACACCCAAATGGAATGACAAATCGGTATAAAGACAGAACCCTTGACAATTCGTCATTGTCCATTATTCGCTCGACCCCAATTGTCCGTTTCACGTAGTTCCTCTTCACAACACGAAGGAAATTGGTAACTTGATTTCCAACATGGTATCGTTTGGTGGGTGTATCCACAGTGTGCTGGAATTTTGGGTGCTCGTGATATATGCTGGATAGAATGAATTGAGTAATTTCATTGGGGGCAATCTCGAGACAGGTTCTCCTAGAGTGGTTCCACTGTCCGGCGATGAAAGCATTTGCAAGCTGTTTAAAGAATGGTGACAGTCCGTACTGATCTGTATGATTTGGTGCTGCTCTTGTAAATTCGTGATCGTGCCGACTGGTTGAGGTAATGTAGATTAGTTAGACACTTTCGTAGTTACCACTTTGCATTGTCCTGATCTGGGCTCTCCAGGGGCATCCTTTGACAGAACATCGGTATCGATGTGCAAGAGTTCTCATTGCTTTTTCAACTCGTTTTCCGCCCAACCAACAAGGACTGCCGGAAATGATGAGTTTGTACGGACCAAAAAAGCCACCATACAAAGCACCAAGTTGAGTGTATGCTTCATCGAACGAAGAAGCAATACGCGTTGTCGGATCGGCATAATAACCAACAGTGAAGTTTGCGTGGCCAAGAGTGGTGTCATTGGACACCGACTGAACGCGTTCACGGTTGTTTGCCATGGTGCTATACCATTAATTTCTGCTCTAGATATCTCGTCTTTGGAGGAATTGTTCACTGAATGACCCATATTGGGAGAGGTGGGACGGTCCTTTGGAGTGCCAATTGGAGTGGCTGTTGGATTGAGTTGAGCAATCAATGTCATTGCTCCACAATGGGAGTTGCAATGGAATTTTCAAAACTCTAAAACCAATTCCACACATTTTGTATTCGTTGAAGCAGAAATACAAGCACAAGCAGGAGTGTCACAGAGCCCGTTCTCTATGTTGGCCAACTCCCAGATCTGACGGGCTACCCTCTGCTGATAGAGTCAAATATTGGATCAGTTCAAACAATAGAATAGGTTTGAAAGATAGCTCGGCAGAGTAGGCAAGACATCTTCGCAACCTAAACCAGCGCGGAGACAGGTTTGAATCATTCAAAGCCCAATATGGTACCCGGGGCATTGTCAAAGTGCCCGCCGAAAGCAACCAAATGAAGCCTATCAAACAGAAATATGGAGGCCATGACCGAACTGAGCAGTTCCGTGAGGGAACAACAGTACGTCTTGTTGACAGCACGACTATTGGATGTTTGCGCACAGCTACAATGAATGAGGACCCTACAATCGAGCACCTTTTGACCATTGTTCTCTGGCAAGGAACAGGCCTTGCCCCATGCGCATGGAAAACTTGCTTGACACTTGCGCGAATTCCTCAGCCACAAGATCCATGCACAACTCCCACCAATACTCACGAATTGAAAACAGTGGTAAGTTGTATTCGTGACTCATCATTCCCATTCTGATCGCGCCCTCACACTCTTCTCTTTTTTGCGAGTAGCCACCAATCGAAGAGGACAATGGCGTCCTTTTGACTCAATGTGTTTCGCGCATGCACGTACGACCCACATGGGATCTGGTTAGGACCGCGCCTGACCCTGCGCGGTTGGCCTGTCCGGTTTCGTTTTGGAGATGATTTCAATCTCCCTCATGTGTTGAAGAAATAACAGCTTAATTGGCTTCTGAGGCTCGCTCCAAACCCAACCAAACCCCGTCATTCGTGAGGTCACCTCACGATTTAAGCATAGAAGGGGGTCTGGGGGTGGCTCGTGCAATTTACTTTGGCTCTTTTGAATAGGGGCAAAGAGTACAAAAGCTGATTCTGCAATTAAGAGGCCTTCTTGAAGTGCTTTTGGTGTGTTAAAGCATGCTCTAGTAATTAGTAAGGATTGGTTCAAAGGAAATCCTTTCACGTACTTGAAACCATTACTACTGGTTACGGTTTGAAAATCTAGCTGATTTAACACCAGTTCTATTAAAAAGCTAGTAAGACATTTTAGGAAATTGAAAGAATTCCGCGGAATACAGAGGATTAGGGTGGCAGAATCTACTGCTGGTACCACATACATGGTTGGGGCACTGCTTCTGTTCCGCAAGGTTGAATTGGATTTTTAAGGAGGGCAAGCTGTTTTGGGAAGTGTCATTGGAGAGTACTCTCTGTACACACTAATTATTCAAACAGACTTCACGGAACAGCCTGCCCGGCTGCCCTCTTCTTTGAAAGCAGCCTCACTCACTCACTCACTCACTCACTCACTCAATCGATCAACCACAACAACAAGAACACAATGGTGGAGGAGCGGCTGATCGCTACTACTGGTACATTGTGCTACTATTACGACGAGGTAAGTCTATTATCAAGTGTTATTATTGAAGGCGCAGAACTGACTCCTCTCCCTCATTGTATTCCTATGGTAAACAGGAGGTAAATCCAAGCTTGGCCGACAACAGTGGTGAGTGCTTTCTTTATCCAATCGGCCTCAGTTGAAATCGATCGATCGAACGACTGGTACGAGGTAAGCCTATTATCAAGAGTGTTAATTGAAGATACAGCGCTGACTTCTCTCCCTCATTGTATTCATATGGCATTCAGGAGAGAATTCCAAGCTCGGCCGTCAACAGGTGAGTTGTTTTAATTATTCGAATCAAATAGGTCGCACCTCTACTGATATTATCCAAGCCTCACTCAAGCCGACCGTCTCCGGTGCAGATTGGAAAACCATCCCTCATTGAATCTTATGGACCATGGGATGGCAGTCAGTTCTCGGCCCATGACAGCCAAGTTGGAAAACAACGGGTAAGTCTCCAATCGTCTGCAGTTGAGCACAGAAAACAAAACTCATATCTATTTGTTGTTTTCTCTGCTGCACTACAGGCTTAGACAACAGCTACAGCTACAGGCTGGGATAACTGGGACAACAGCTATAGCTCCAGGCTGGGATAACCGCTTCACCCTGGGACAACCACTATTACAGGCTGGGACAACAGCTCCAGGCTGGGATAACAGCTCCAGGCTGGGACAACAGCTACAAGCTGGGACAACAGCTACAGCTATGTATACAGGCTGGGATAACCACTACAGGCTGGGACAACAGCTACAGGCTGGGACACAAGCTGGGACAATAGCACAGCTACAGGCTGGGACGACAGCTCTCACACCCTGCGCGTACCACACCAGAGAGGTGCTGGCCCTCATTTTTTGCCAAGTTTGACTTCCTGTTGCTCATAGAGACTTATAATTTCCAGTGCATTCTCGAATCAGCAGTGGGCATTGTGACAAATAACTGGCTTCCAGCCGATTCTTGACCACAGGACTGATGGAATCAAGCAGTTGGCTGCTGTATTTGTTTGCGTATGAAGCCCTTTACTGGAAGCACCATTGGTACGATTCCCAGCCCTTTTATCATGATCACGGAGCATGACATGCGGTACTTCGTTCCTTGGTGCTTTTTCATGCTGAGAATTTTGACGGTGGCGACGCTTTGGGAGATGGTGTTGATACTTTGGCAAGCCTTCTTCTTGTGCTTCGTGGATGCCATTATTGGTCTCTTCTTGTATTGAATTCACTTGTATGGGCTCATTGGGTCGGCTGTTGTCCTCAAAGCTCAAAGGACACACATTTCGCTATGGTAGTCCTCTTGGAGCTCCACTGTTGACTGACTACTCCTGTTGCATATTCTTTCAATACAGAGTACCATACAACCACTTCCACTTTGTTTTCACGGATCCTGACACAGTGACAGTTTCCGTCACCAGTCCTCGGTTACTCATCCTGTACCAGTAGCCTTCTTCGATCCCTGATATGCTTCTACTGTATAGAGAGAGTAATAGTACACCACTTGCAGTCCTGGCTAGCTAGGACTACATGTAGTAGTAGTAACACCACTTCGAAGCTTTGTTTGTTTTTTCCAGCTCATGTCAAGGCGGAAAACATGTCCGTGATCAAGAACTCGAGCATCCCGGAGTCTACTTTGAAGAAAAAGAGTAACTCGGTCGCATACCACATGTCCGTGAAAGAGTCGCTGCAGACATGGCAAACATCACATATGAGAATACAGAGAGCAATTTGGCGATATGTTGACGAAGATCCAGAACGGGCCTGTGAGACAGCGACTGTGTTTCGAAAGTCCTCTACTAACAATCTGCAAAAAGGCAACATGACCATAGGGTGGGCCGTTTGTGAACGGCAGGTCTGAGCCTCCAAGGGGCCATGCCCCAAGGGTACATCCTCGTTTCAGACTTCCGAAGTCTGTTTTCCCATGTCAAGTGCAATCTAGCGTGAGATAGATCCCCCTCTAGCTTGAGGGACCGAAAATGACCTGTGGAGCGATTTATGACTATCCAGTTACCAGATTACTAAAATCAAACACAACACACAACCAAGTAGTAACACCACAACACTATAGCAACCTCTTTATCAACCCACCATCATCAGCCTTTTTCGAAAAGATCACAAGTGAGGTGGTGAGGTTTCCTCGAGGCTGTCATTGGGGTGGTCCATT